CCCCAAAACCCCAAAACCCCAAAACCCCTTATCTTACCATAAGAGGAATATTGAAAATTTATAAATCTATACAAATCGAATGCATGTATGTAATAATCAGTCAAACATTATTTTATAGAGATGATTACCACCATTATTTGGCAATGTTTGCTGCTGATTTTGTCCTCCTGTACTCAGTTTTATCATCCTAATGCATTTTTTATATGAAAATAACTTAGATTAATCATCGCTTCTCATCTACACCTCAATTTCTTTATCTGTGCTTTATTAAGTTGTCTTATCTTAGACAGCTGAGTTTACACTTTGTACAGTCATACTGCTTGCTTTTATCTGACTCTTAATAACTTAAATCATACTTGTTAGGTTAACTGGAAAGAATACTCCAAAGAGTTTCATTTGATATCTGCTCTACTTGTTGGCGTATGTTACATTTCCACTATAAAAAAGCTGTCCTTCATTGTAGGTGCAGTTTATAAAGGGGGAAGGTGCTATGATTTAAGCCATAGCTGAGTTAGAGGCACCTTAGTATGAATATAGCTAAGCATCCATTTGATTTGCTATAAAATTCGATAGAATATTGTATATTGAGTTCACTGCCTTGTTATCAAAGTAGTAGAGCTATGACTAGTTCTTCGGAGCAAAGTTAAAGTGCTAATTTTCCTCATTATTCTCTAATAAATAAGTCAATCTATCTTAATCGTTAATCAAGTCATCATCTGATTCTTCTTCCTTCTCTTTTTGTTTTCTTAAATTCTCCTATTACTCTCTTTCCTCGTCGTCATCATGGCTTATATTCACAACAGTTTTAATTATATTAGCTAAATTAGTATTAAATGATGATAAATTAGCATACAATCTTGAATGATTCGAGCGAGACTTTTTGAAGGATTTAGAATAGCCATTGGTCTGCCCTCTTTAATTTTAAATAAAGCCATGAAATTATTGTTTCTCACATAGAAAAACGGCATTTCTACTCCTCTTATAGATCCATCCTCGCTAGCAGATGCAAGGAATTTCTTATAAGCATCTCTTAATGATCTTAACCATTAGACCTTCTACTGTGTTTTCTATTACTCCTTATCTGAAAATTATTAATAAAAGGATATTATTAGACATACCAACAAAATTATCGAAACCACTAAGTTTTTAGTCAGTTGAGTAGACATAGTATTGCAGATATTTTTAAATCTTGCTGAAGCTAATATCTACCTTATCAGTTGAATTACTTAAAATGCAACTTATCTCAATGGAGGTTTTCAATGACCAATCACTAGGCAACTCATGAAAGTTCTGCAAGCATCATATTAAATTTAAATTCGACTTACCACATATTTAGAACTCTCTAATTACTACTTTTTGATATTTTTATTAAGCTCATTTTACCTTAATAGCGACTTATCAATGTCATTAATAGATTTTAAATTCAAATTTTCATCAAATTTCTTATTAAGATTCATGTTATTCATCATTTACCCCTTTTTCTACTGTTAATTCATCTTGTTAAAATTGGTATTCACTCTGACTTCTGGGTCAATATCCATATCATCATCTTCGTCATCTTTCAGATCTGGATGCTAAGATTCCTGATAAAATGACTATGTATGTCCTCCTTGAGATTCCATCTAAAGCTGAGTTTCGTTTTTCTGCCCACCTTGATTTAAACTTCTAAGACCTTGTACAGGTTTTTTATTAGGAAGTTGATTCGAAAAATTAAAACTAAAATTGATATCAATATTATTGCATTTTCTTACTCTGCTCCAAAAGAAGGCTGTTGTTACTAAAGTTTCTTTTCCTTGAAGGACTTAAATGATTTAACTTGAGTCACTGGAGCATTGCTAGTTGGGCCCTATAAATTATTATTATTCCCAGCTGCTTTGTGATTCTAAGTAAAATTCCTGAGCTCAACTTGCTAATTTTTTTCTTCATCTATTTTCGATGGAGCCAGTTACTTTCTTCTTTTTCTATCCTAAGATAAAATAAGTTCATTTGATAATATGGTTACACTATCTTAGTTAGGATTATCTTCCTTGAGGTTTTCGCTGAACTCCGAGTATGTTCTTTTTTTCTAGTTAAGTTGCTAAGCACTTGAATCGCCGAAGGGTGCAGCTGTTTATGATGTACTAGAACTGTCTGCTTTCATTTTATATTCGCGGGTAATTTAATAATATTTAAATGCGGTATCAAAATTAAAAATATTAATCGAAGTTCGTTAACATTTTAATTATTTAGCTAACACTTTCAACAATCTTAAAAATATTCTTTAAAAAAATCATTCGAAATATAAGAAAAGTAACTAGAAGTAGATGCCACAAAAAAGTTGGGAAGATGCTTAATTAGAATCAAAGCCAAAGAAATGTTTAAGATTCATTACAGACCTCCTAAAAGTAGGCTTTGGATTTGGTTGCTTCGTTAAAGCGCTAGTTTTGGCATTTGAAGAAAATAAAGAGATCCCTGCCCTCTGGGAAACTAAAATGTATTACACTTTTATATCCCTATTTCTTCTGCTAAATGGACTTGATTCCTTGGTTGACACTTTCACAGATTTACTTACTTTTGAAAAATATCCCATATGTGTTTTAGTCACTAACACAGTCATTTTACTTTTCTATGTGCCCTTCGTGGCTATTGGGTTTTTGATGGCCAAGTCTCGAGTATAAACATCTTGGGCTGACAGATAGAGTGCTTATGTTAGCTATGAAATTTATCTTTGGAAAAACAACATATCTAAGCCTAACGAAACTAATTATGAGGACTTGTATGCAAGAGCCTCATTAGAAGCATCAGATTTCGCTACCAGCATTAGATCTGACTATCTAGTCTTCTCAATTTTGGCAACGCTTCCTTTGATCTAAAATTTCTACCAACTGGCTTTCATCTGTTGCGATTATAGAATCAAGAAGATCTGCGACGGCTGCCTTTTTATGTTAGGAGCTGGAATAGCGACTGTTTGCATTATCTTCACATACCAGTCTGTTGGAGATTTTTTCAGCTTGTCTCCCATATATGATGAAGACGGAGAAGTTGAAGACTACGATATCATCATTAATGGATTTAACGCTACGGTTATTCCTTCTGCTCAGCTATTTGCAGAGGGCAGATATTCAAAATTCGCCTAACAAGATTATTCATTGGGAATAGAGAATATGTATACCTTAATCTTCACTTTTAACCTAATATTCGAAGGGCTTTGCAAAGTTTTATATGAGAGTAGATGCTGTACTGAGAGATGTGCTCTACTCTTCAATATTTTCTAGGTGCTATTCTATTTGTTTATTTCAGCCTTCATTCTTTACCTTCTGATAGAAATTGGCTAGAATGCAGAGCTGACCTTTAGCAATCCAACTATTATGTTCTACTTATCAATGGTATTTGACGCTGTAGTACATATTATTGTCACTCTCATTGTTACATGCGCTTGCTATGTAGCCTATTGTAAAAGATGATGATTGATGATGTTTCCCTATTAAAAGCTTTAAAAATAATAATTTAAACAGAAATAAATTTAGAATTATAAATATTGCTCAGATTATAGATATAAACAAATAGCGGGGTTTTGGGGTTTTGGGG